TTACTACTTATTTAAGTTGCAGCACACCTGATACCTCCTGGCTTTTCAGTGTGTGCACTGTGCTGTGTTAGGGCCACAGCAACCCATGGAAGAAGCTGGAGGCCCTGGGACTGCAGCACCGGCTTCTGAAATGGGTCATTTAAATTAGGATATTGCTGATATAGCAATTTTATCAAACTTGTCCCTGGAGCTTGTCTTGAAATCTGTAATGCTGCTTTTGGATAAAAGCATTGGTTAATGTCTCATTTGCACAAAGCCATAGTGCCTTTCCACTTGCTTGGTTAGTACGTTAAGCAGGATGAAGCCCATATTCTTTGCTACTACCTAAAAGTTAGCCTCTGACAGAGATTTAAGGGTTGTTTCATCCAATTAAATGGGCATGATTGAACCTGCCGTTTTAAGTCTCTGAGCTTAGCTCTGAATTAAAATGCAACTGAAAAATATATTGAAATGTTGAAATCGTAAGGGCTTTGCAACATGTAGCTTTAAAGAAGTTTCATGCTTATTGTAAGCATAACAACCTGGTAGGAGAAATCTTTTTTCTTCCCTTTTTAGATTTGTTTAATAAAGGATTTATGATGCTGAAGGAAAAAATCTTTCTCTCTGAAAATCAAACAGCCAACAGTTAAGGCCGATTCTTTGAAGTCCACTGTGTGAACTTTATTACCTCCCTACTTAATATTAGAATTAGATATCCTGAATCATTCATCAGGCTTCAGTTATCCCTGAAAAGGAAACGTCAATATCATTCAGAGACATACACTTCTCCAATTAATTAGATGTTCAAGAAATGTTTCCAGTACAGTAAGTCAGTTTTATTTAAAAAATAGAGTCCAAACATTGTTTTTGATAAGGTGCAACATATATACTGTTTTCTACAATTAAAAAAAAAAAACCCAAACCCAAAGCCAAACAATAGTTGTAATTATAGTTTCATTCCAACACGGAATCAGTGGGTCTCCTGTAATTCTTAAACATTCTTTTTCTGCTTCATCAAAGCACAAGAATTAATAACTATTATCACTGTGACAGCCAAAGGGTCTGGCTATTGTCATCCATGTTCTGTACTTTCATAATAAACTTTCTGGTACAGATTGCTTCAAGTACACAGCAGAAGCTGAATGTAACTGAACACAGTTCATGCAAAACAAAGGTACAATACTGAACTTGCATCATCCAAAGATTGTTTTTTCTCTTGTTTAGTTTGACATCTTTGAAGTCCAACTGGTTGAACACGAGGATTGAACTGAGGCTGCGTAAAGCGAGCACTATATACTAAAGTACTTACGTAACTCAGATTGATTAGGCTACGTGACTATCTTGAGTTCTAAAAATTCAAATAAATACTTAAGGCTGAGATCTATGCCTCTTGGAGCCTATTCAGCAACTTCTGAGACATATTTGGGAACACAGATGGAAAACAGTGACTGATAATGGGCTTGTATTGGGGAAATACATTAAATCATTACATCAGAACTGCATTTTTTGAGAAAAGCATGTTACTAATTTATATGAAGAGTGTTCCCCATTCAGCCACTCAAACTAAAAGAGCAATGAAGACTCTAGCATGGAGGAGTTCAACAGAAAGACTTACAGCCAGTTACCATCTCTGGAACTGTCTGAAGTGCTAAGTTTTCTAATTAGCAAAGTCTGTCTAGTTTCAAACCCCTTCTTTTCACTCTAACGTCACCTCAGCCTTCAAAATGCCAAGCAGCTGAAGTTAGCTATGGCTATGCCATTTCTGGAGAGCTAGATAGCAGTTCCTGCTCTGGGGGAGGTTTAACGTATTTTGAACAGACACAGGAACAAGGAGCAGCAGCCTAACCACCCATGCAGAGTTATACATCCAAAGGGGTCTTTCCATGACCCCATAGATATTTAAACCATTCCCTTTAAAGAGGAACATGTTTGATAGAAAAGAGCTATACACCCATTTACCTGCCTTCTGCCTGGGGGTAGTCCCAGGGTCAAACTGCACCCCCAATAAGTGCATAAATCTCAATTCCTTCTGTTGTTGTTTCTTACAAACCACCGTGCTGGTTTTATGGATCCTGGTCTTCAGTCCGTGAGGCTCCTCCTATGCAGTCTAATAAGATGAGGTGACAAACTATCACAGGCCTGGCTGTTGGTTTCAGTGGATCAGGCCTCTGGATATTAATGGGAATTAGCTACACAAGTTTGTGTCTATGCATAGCCACCGACTGAGTTTAAGCAGATAGATAACCCAAGTCAACACCCAAGTGACTTTGTTTTCATGGCCACTTTAACTTCCGCTAGGTGACTCCGTGTTGTTTTCTTGGGAAATGACAATTTTTTTTCAATCTTGATAAATCATCCTGGTTTCTATTAGCAAACATTGCCCTCAACACTATGAATGCTCTTCAGAGCTGTTCATGGACTATGTTGTAAAGAAACATGGACTGAAATTTCCTTCACTAACAGCAAAGGCTTTAGACTTCTCCTTTTTCCTGACATACATGAAGCCTTGAATTTGATTTCAGACAGCACATGAATTCACTTTCCAACTTATTTCTCTTAGCTTATGAGCAAAAGAGGGACACTCTTGTTTCCTATGTAAACATAAAGGAAGATGGAGAAAGTGTTCATCAAATGTGTATGTATTAACATTAAGAGCTATAAAAGTGAAAAGTAGAACACAGTCCTTCAATTTTAATTTCAGAACAAGATTGACCTCTTAGTCCAAATCCCTTAGATTCTAGTAGTTTCGTGTAGAAACTGACATTCGTACTAAGCCCCGCTTGGGTTCAGCTGTGGGAGTGAACTGTTTCTATTTTATGATGGCATCCCTGTTCAAGTAAGGGAGTCCAATGTTTATGAGCTTGGTTGTTGACTTGGTTGGGTTTTTTAATGAGTTTGGCTGATGACAGCTTCACAGAAAAACAAGAAACAACAATACTGTGTTGTAATTCCTATTTTCAGAAGGAAAGGGTTGCTCAGTTCTATAGTTTACAAAGTTTTAACAATATCCCTTTAACAATACATTGTACTGCAGATGTTCAGTTAACAAAAAGTATACACTGAAATATTCATGGGCTTTGGCCATAGCTACATATATTTATGTAGCCGAGTTGCAAACACTATTGTTAAATGGAGTACTTAGCAGATTAAAATTTTCCCTTCACTTCTGTTTCTTTTACTTAAACAATTTGGGTCATACTTTATGGGAATGCAGTGTGACACATGCCACAAGGAAACAGGGTCACTGGAGATAAGAGGAGGAATCTGGGACATGTAACTTTGGGCATCTAACTGAGGGTGCACCTGGCGAGTTGTGTCTGTTCAGGGACAAAATAATCATGCACATTGCCTGCAAGTTGGATCAGCAGCCTGGCTTTTGTCTGGAGTAAGCAACAGGCTCTTCTGGCATGAAAGGACTCCCCTCGTCTCTGCCTATGAAAACCATCTGGATGCAACAGACTTAAGCTACTGATATCTGTATGGATTTGAACAAAAATGACAGTGGCCTCAGACGCCTAAATGAAGGGACCAGACTCTCAGAGTGTCTGAAGGGGATTCAGGACCACCAAGTTAGGATGCCACCTCTCTCCAATCTCTAAGCTTATCGTTATAAATCAAACACTGGGCAGTGTGGACTATAGGCTACTGAGAGTAGAATTTGGTCTTCTGTTAATGATAGCAGTACTACTAAAGTGCTAGTATATTAACACAGGTAATGCTGACTCTGTGCATCTCACGCAGGACCCAGAACAAGGGTTTAGGAAAATAGCATTTTTACCTGAGTGGCTTGAAGGTCCCTACCAGGGGTTGTTAAATCTTATGTCCTTGCTGCAAACAGATCAATAATTAAAGCTTTACTATCATTTGCATTCTCCATCCGTTTGATCTTATCCAGCCCCAGTGTCATGGGGATAGATTCCACAGTCCTGTGACTGGCAGATGCATAAAGAGTAGATCTGCTACAGAATAAATGTCTGGGACTGTTAAATTAACTTCAGCAGTCTCTTGGCAGGTGCAGACAAATGCAAAGAAATAGCGATGACAAAAAGGAACGAAATGGAGAGTCAGGAATCAATGCAGAACTTCATTAGTTTTTGAGAAATGATGGTGTACACAAGGGAAGACAGGTGATGGATTCAATCTCTTGTCACTAATATCGGTGACAGCTGGATACCAATCTCCCTTTAATGCCTTCAAAAACTCCTCCATGAGCTTCTGTGTTTTTTTCTGTTGTCACAGCAAACCACATAATACTAAATATTACAGTACCTGTATGCAAAATTGCATAGAGAAATAACAAATCCCTACAAATAAGTCATACGTCAACATTAACAAAGGGAAGCTGACTGACAGAAATGCTAAACTGTATAAAATTCTAAGGACTAACACAGGGAACAGGGGACACTATGTTTTAAAGTGAGTTGAAGTGTGTTCTTGCTCCTTTAACTCCAGTCCTGATTCACTTAACTTGTACAAAAATAAATGAAGATGTCAGAATTTTTCATTTTAAAATAGGATGATTTCTTCCCTCATGAAAATGGTATAAATCAGTAGCGAATACACAGCCATGATTTCAGTAAGGAAAACAACTGACGTTACTCATACACTCTCTCCAGTTTGGAACACAGACCTTTATCCCTGTTAACAGCCTATACATAAATAGTGTCTGCTAGTCTTCACACCTACCTCCAGAGTTACTGTGAATGTTGACGCAGCCCACTGGTGCTCCTGGCTCTTTGTCTCTAAGCACCACATCACTCACACCCACCAACACTCCAATCGAGCTGTTGGGAATCTCATTAAGGAAACACAGCTTGACATCTGCAGCTGCTCAGAGCTTCTAAACTGCCTTCCTCATTAAGTAAGTGCCATCCTGCATCCATTCCCTCTGTCAGAAGCATATTGGGCCATTCCTCATTCACATTATTTTTTCTCTTTAAACATAATGAAACACCGAACATAGCCTCTGTGTTAATCTAGACAGCGTTCCTTTGGGGTTACTTTCTTCTTCCTTTACCAGTCTAGTTAAACATGATAGATTCAGGGTCCTGGTTTGCCATTTGAGCCATATGTCTTAATACGTCCTTTTTAGTTATGATACCTAGCAGCCTCCTAGAAGAGAAAAGGAAAGGAAAGGTCAACAATCGTCTCATATATCATGCAGTTTTTTCCCCGTTCAGCAGCAGGGACATTTTGTGAGTGCTTCCTTAATAACACCGCCCATCCCATCCATGCCTCAATGGTTATCTTGCATAAACAGCATTCTCACCTTCTGTATTTTTACTACTCCGGCCATGATCATTGATTTAAATACTTTGTGTTGTTATCATTTTGTTGGGAACATGACTCAGTGAGGAACTACAACAACTGGCACTTTGCACACAAAGTAATGACATTCTTCGGGCTCAGGCTGCAGTGGACCAACAGCACAAAACCAAGGCACCAGTGCCCTGAGCATGGGGTTTAGTAATACACGAACTAAGATAAAGCATGACATTTCTGAAACTCTCACTGTCCAACAACGTAATCTCTTCAACTTGAGTGATAATTTCTCATTTATATGATCCTAAATTAATTATATCTCCCAGGAAAGATGTGGCCTATGGGATGTCTGGCGCCCAAGAGTCAAAAATTTCCTAATCCTCAGTATTCAAGGGGTTTTATTTCCAGTCCTTGAAGGCCACGAGGTACTGGATTTTGAAACTATGTTATTGTAACTGTTTTTCTACCTTTCATCTCATGTAAGTGCTAGAACTCAAGATCAAAATTTCCAAATCCAGGCACCTAAAATCAGGATCGAAATCTGTGTCCGAGGAATGGTCCTTGTTTTCTTAATGCTGAGGACACTGCATCAGTAATAACGGCTGAGACACAATATTTTTGAATAACAAAAAGGCTTTTTGCAGAAAACTCTCTTAATCTTCTGCATTTGAAAATGATGGCTCTGGTTTTGCTATCCTGTTGCAGAATTTTTTCTTATGACAAATCCTGGTAAGGATCCACAATGATCCCGAAATACCTCAAAATCCACTGGAATTATGGGATATTATTTCTAGTGCACACAGTGCAGCTTTTTACTCTTCTGAGTTCATGTTTGTCCACACTTCTTCAGCTGTTTTTTGTGGACTTTTGGTTTATACGCCTTTCCATTTTCCATTAAAGAAAGCTGAACAGATTAATTTTCTTCCACTGACATTTTTATCACAGTCTTCACAAGCATCTAATCTCATTGGCTGTCCAGAAACAGGCACATCCTTTGCAAACAATACTACATGCCAGATCTGCCTCTGTTGAAAACTGAACGATAGTGGGAATCAGAATTGTTTATTTTGTATTTATCTTCACCTTATCTAAATGACAACACACTAAGAATCTGGGAGAAGAGAATAAAACATGACACTCATGAAGGGTCACTTTGGGTCTAAGTCCGATTTCTTTTGCTGCCCTGGAGAGACACTGAGCACACTTTCCTTGTACTTCTATTCACTAAACAGACAAAATCAAAATATTCACTTGACTCTCAGAGGTGCTGATTAATTAGTTACTGTCTATACTTGGTTTTAAACAGGAAAAAAATGGTGGTGGTGTTAATGCTGAATCTTGTGAGATTCTCTAAGCATGCTTGACTGAGCAAATACTCACCCACTGCGAGTGACAAGACACTGCCGGAGTCCGAGTTTCCGGAAAATATCCACCACGGTTTCCATTGGCGTGTGGTCAGTGACAGTGAAAGGGCTCAGGTTGAGAATACGCCGCAACTTCAGTGGATGGGGACTGTTGGGTGGCAGTTCTGGGGGGTCTTCGGTGAAGTACACGATGGAGTTGCTCACCACCCCATCCTGACGCTGTCTTGCGTTCTCTGTACAACAGAAAGATCAAGGTAGACAGTGAGTTAGGTTTGGTAACAAACAAACAAAAAGAATCCTTCTTTGGAAAGCAAAGGTAGTGGTTATTTTTTGTCTTCAACGTACTGAGGTCCCAGAAGTTGGAGTTACTGAGCAAACTTGAATTTCCTTGAGACATTGTTCCCTTGATGCAAAGATAAGTGATATTTTCATAAACATACTTTTGCTTGGTTGGGATAGTGCTTTTCTGAATAAATATACAGCTCATTGCATTCACAAACATCACTAATCCCATTTCTGTCAGATTCAGATGATTAGATGTCATTTTCTCCATTGTGAGAATCACAACAGAAACTTGTATTATATGCCTGAAGAAGTGGAGTCAACAGCTGTGTATGGTCCCAGCTGGCTTGGAGCAGGATGCTTGTTCCCAGACACCTCAGTGGACTTGGGGAAATCTGGGCACGGTGAATGGATTTATGAACACAATGCTAAAGAAAGACAAATTCACATCCCAAGGATCTGGGGGCAGCCTGGGTGTTGTTCTAGACCGGCGCACCTCTCTGTCATGCAGGATGAATTTTTTGGTTTTGCACTTAAATCCTTGAATAGACTTTGCATATCTTGATTTTAAAAGGTCAGGAAAAAAACCCCAGCAAACTACTTAAAAGAAAATAGTAAAGGGAGGAACAATATATAGCAGTAAATGAATGTGATACATTCTTCCCAAAATGAAATATTTGTCCATATTCAAAAGTTCAAAAGCTGTCATTCATACTTTGATCACACTATGAAGTGAACTTCACGCTACATCTGGAGTTTACATGATCAGTATAAGCCTTTCACTTTAAAGTATGATCCAAGAAGAATTCTTAGCATTGAAGTAGTTTATTTTCTTTGTAGTGTTTACCTCATTTCTACTCAACACTACAGGGCGTGAACAATACATGAGATGGATTTCCAAATGATAGACAACTTCTCTGTCCCCAGAATAAGCATATCCTGTGTGTGGCTCTGAGGGTTTAACTCTTTCTCTTTTTTTCCTTTGGAAATGGTTAGAATTATTATCTTTGATTAATATGGGTTGCTTCTGTTCTTGAGAGGTACAGCAAATCAAACATACTCAAAGCATACATATATATACTCAGAGCCCATTGCCATCAATCACAGCGCAGAAAGCTGCTCCTGTGACTTGTAATGTGAAGAGAGTAATGGTTTCCAACATGTTCCAGCTGCATTTTTTTCCTTTAACTATCATTGTCTTGTAATATTTCTGGAACTGGAGCAGTGATGGCTTAAACCAAATATCAGCACAGTATGTGATTTTCAACCTCCTCACCCCCATATTACAAGTGCCGTTGCAATTTATAGGAATGCTGCTAACTTTGTCTCATATCTTGTTTTGATTCATACATCTAATTTCAAGTGTGAACATGCCTGCATTGCCCTTTGATATATGATCTGTGCTAAGAGGTAACATTAATCAACCTGAAGGCAACTCCCACTCTTTGATAAAAACCCTTGACAGTTAGGTATTTCCTTCCCAAAGCTGCACCCAAAGCAACAGGCCCAAGCATTTCAGTCACCACGCTGCTGTTCCCAAGGCAGCAATGACCCTGGACCACAGTGATTAGGCAAAGCTATGACTTCACCCTTCAAAGTCAAATGTCTCTCCGGAGGACTGTGAATGATGTCGTACTATTGACCAAATTCAGTGGCATCAGAAAAATGGTGGACTTTGTAGGCAGTCTCACCGGATGGAGGAGTCAGGGTAAAGGTACAACAGGAGTACAGATTGGTTGTTTTTGCAGTCACTGGGTAAGAAAACCAGATCTAGCTTAACAGAAAGAGGAAAGCAAATGGATGATGCCTGGTGTTATAGATTAATCTACAGAGGAGGCTCTTAGCACAGAAAGTGAATCAGTGCTCTCCAGTGTGAAGCAGCCTCTCATGTTCAGGAGTCCACCGTTCACAGCCTGTATAAGTTAGGTTGCTCTCTCAACTCTGCACTGGGAAAAGTACATTACACAGCCTTCCTGGCTTGTCTCCATGACTCTGCTTTTTGTACGTTGCCTCTGAAGCCGTCTAAATTTAAGAGCAGCTTTATGGGGTCAAATACTCCCTTCTGTAAGACTGTAAAGTGGGTGCCATCTAAAATGTAGGCACCTATTCCCAGAGGGTGACTCTGCCCACCTGACCTGACTCAACAAGGATGCCGTCCTCCTGAAGGTGCTTCTGAGCAATTGGAAGTGGCATTCCATTCACTTTACAGGGACTAGATGCATTTCTAGAGCGTGCTTAGTGCTCCACTTTGTAAGGAAGAAATTATGTAGGGGCAAATCATGAAACAGAGAGCTGTGTGTGAACAGGTATTTGGTGCAGGACTCAACAGCTATTGCTTTCATCAAGGAAATCAGTGGTGTGAGGGAATCAGAGTACTTCTCCAGAATAATCCCTGGGCCACCACACTGCTGATGCACCATTTATTGGGCCAGAGAAAGAAACTGAAGCTTCTTGGTTGAAAGCATGTCTCTACATGGTGCAAGGTGTTGTCATAGAGAGGCACCAAAGCCAGTTCAAGCTGAGGAGGCATTCTGCAGTGAAAGAAGAGATAAGGATGCAGGCCTGACCCTGCTTTTCAGAAGACCTCATTCCTTGGTTACAGTGCTGCTCTGATGGGGCCTATACTGTTCCCTGACATTACTCAGTATCTCTGGATGCTGTCAGGCTGAGCAGGAGATAAGGACCTGAACAGGAGAATAAAAGGTGCATCACCACATGTGATGTTTACCTCTTGACAAGTAATTTTATAGTTTAAGGAGACTGTGTATGGCTCCATGAACACAATTATTAGGAAGCAAGCTGAGCTGAAGGTTTGTAACCATTATTAGTACTCTGTAATGATGAGGAGTGACTTCTGCAATAAGCACAAAGCAACTTTCGCCTTCAGTAAAAAAAGATTTGCTATCAAAAAGTTGCTAGCATGGTACAAAACCAGAGTTTTGGCCTGAGTTGTACTGGAACCATATACTGTATCTTTTGGAAAAGTGGAAATAAATCCAGATTTTAAGTCACAAGGACACAAACCATACTGGAATGATTAATTGTTTATCACAGAGTCAGCACAGAATGACGTCAGGAGTTGTCATACTCAACCCAAGAGAAAAAGTGTCACCAAAGGTCGCTGACAGTGGGGGATTTTAGAAAAAACTCATCTATGCAGGAAAGTGTTTGATTTTAAATCTCAGTTCTGCCTCACATCCTACAAAAGATGCTCTTAAATATAGCTGGTCAGGAAGCAATACCTTTTCCTCTGGAAAATGTGGATGTCAAAGAAACAGTTTTCAAACAGGAAATAATTTTGATCTAAAATGTTTGACAAGTTTATTTTTACCTAATTTCTTTATTATTAGTGCATAGCTGGGCATTTTCACACATCCCCTAGCAAGCCCGTTCAGCCACGTTGCCATTTGTGACTGGAATCAAAGGACTGAGTTCCTCAGACTTCTCTGACTCGCTTGGGAGAGCGTCTGATCTTTCTGCTTTTAAAGTGAGGGCTCTGCATCTTCCCTCCATGCAATTTTCCCACGGACATACCTCCCTGCAAAGGAGACGCAAAAGGCTATAAAGTTAAGTAGGAAGGTAGGCTAAATACCCCTAATTAAGATTTTTTTCTTCTCAAAGGGGAACGCAGAAGGCATTTGAAAATCATCACAAGCAGGATGAAATACAAACTATTTTATAAATGGCATAACCTCTTGTCATTTATACATTTGGTGAAACTTCAGCCACTTATTTACTTTCCTAGCTTGGCCATACAAGGCATCTTTTGTTACTACCAAAGGAAGATTAGCCCTCTGAGAAAATCAGTTTTTTGAAAGGGGTACTGCAGCTAGCAGCCTTGGACTTCATCTTGGTGTCTTTAAAATCCTCTTATACTGAGATTGGTGTACAGAGGATTATAACTTCATGGAGACTTTTGTTTGCTTGGTTTTGGAGGAGAGAGGAAGGAGTAACCAGTGAGAGTGGGCTGTTAATGAAAAAGTTAGATTCCCACACTCCTTGGAAGTTAAATTACAAATAGACAATTAGAGGAGCTGTAGAACTGGCAGTAAGGCTTGTTCTGCTATCCTCTGTTTTGAGAAATTAGTGATACAACTAAATGCAAAATGAATTCAGTTCATAAACTATTTTCTCTAACTGAAATGACAACTTACACCACAGAAGGGAAAAAAATGAGAAAATTATTTTTTACTGAAGTGAATTCTGCACTACATTTTAAAGGGAGAAAACTGGGCTCTGTTATTTCTTTTCTTCTTCTGCATGCAGTATTGATACAGCATTGATGACTTTCTGCTACGGGATGAGAAGAGGGGAATCAAGTAACAGATGAGTGTACTTAAATAAATGAACATAAATTTTAGGTCTAATCACTTAGATGGAGTCTTTTTACATCCAGGAGACAAAAATAAATATGCACTAAAAAAACATGTCCTTTAAAGAACTTTGTTATTTCAAATTTTATTTTAGCTTTGTGAGAAGTGAGCAGGAAAGTGGCCCTCTAAAATAGCCCTGATTTTCCACTTAGGGATTTTCTTTTCTGAAGAATATTGGAGTTTCCATCTGAGACAACAGCTTTTTAAAGCTGTCTGAAGCGGAGGGATGAAATGAACCCATGCAGAGAGGAATAATTCCATGTCAAGGGGATTTGGATATACTAGGCATTCCACTCCCCTGCAAAGTTAAGGCAACTGCCTGCCTACTCAGCTGTCCCTCAGCACCACAGGACTGTCAGAATTGGGAGTGGAGCATGGGGTTGATTTGCCAGGCTCACAGACCTCTGCAGCTCTGGATGCTCTGGGCGGCAGGAAGGTGGGAACACCTGCTTTCATCCAATATACCTGTCTTTTCAATCCCCACCTACCCATCAGGCCAACCAGGAAAGGACCTGATGGGTCAAAAGCTGTAATGACCTGGGATCGGACTCCGAGGTAGCCAGCCAGCTATCCACTGGATGCTTGGCAAAACTCTTCCCCAAACAACATCCTCCACTGAAAAGCTTTCCACCCCTAGTGCAAAAGGCCTGCATGTGAATGAAAATTGAGATAGCGCAGCAAAAAGAAGCACAGGGACTTGTACTTCATCACAGGGAGAGAAAGGTTCACAACTGCCCCAGCTGCTGACAGCAGCCCATGGAGGCTGTGATCTGGTTGTGACAAAAATTTTGGCCATATGAATCAGGTTTTTCTCTGTTGTCTCTAGCAGAATTGTAAGGTACTGTTGTGAGTGACAGCCACATTAAGCCCACAAAAGTCAAGACCGCAGAAGTCTACCAGGGGGTATGTTGCAATAGAGAAGCTTCTATCTAGGGATCCTAGCAGCTAGTGAAGGACCAGACTAGGGGAAAAAAGTTAGGTTCAGTTCTTATTTATCCATTCTCTGAGGTGAATAACTGGTAAAGTTCTACCCTATCAAAATAAAAAATGTACAGATACTCTACTCACTTATTGCAAGAATCAGCTCTCGTCTCTGCGCAAATCCAATAAGTCTTTCCGAGTCTTTCGAAACCACTACTGGAAAGCCATTGTAGTCAGTCTCCTTGATTAGTGTCTCAACATCCTCCACCGTCATGCTGTCCTGCGTCAGAACAGAGAGAGGAGCTTCACCGCGCCTTGGTCTCATGACGTCTGTGGCCAGGGTTCGGTGGGTGAATTCATCCTTCACATCCAGAAACGGGTAACCGTTCAGATGAATGTGAGCTTCGTAGATCCCTTCTTTCCCAAAGGCGTCTGCCACCCACTTGCTTGTGACAGCTGCAGCCATAAGCGGTACGATGTACTCCAGGCCTCCAGTGAGCTCAAACATAATCACCACCAGAGAGACCGTCATTCGGGTAACGCCACCTGTCGACAAGGAATGCAGTCAAGTTTCCCTCCGTGCTCTTGAGGGACACATACTAAGCAACTCATTTATATTTTTGTGCCTTACACTCAAAAAGGCATGAGATTATTCAAGCTGAGTACTTTGCCCTTATACTTTGTGAAGTAGTTTTGGGATTATTTCTGTAAAGGATTTTTCATCAAAAAGATTGAGTGAACTTGCTCAAGCCAAAGATGCTAACACTGAAAAGCAAGTAACGAATGATAAAAGACGGAGCTATCAAACCAGAAAGCATGCAAAACCAATCAGCTTTGAGAGAAACTAAAACTGAATCCTGCCATTAGCCCTCTAAAATGCCTCCAAGAATCAGCTGGGGGCACTGAGAGCCGGCCATCACACTGGCTTACCTATCGCATGCACATCCAAGAGAAAGGTAAGCACTGCCTTTGGGTACACCACAGTTACAAAATCCTGTGTAAGGATAGTTTCATGCCACTGCAAGAGCTATGTTACGGCTGAAACCCTAGATTTTGGTATGAGCGTAACATACAATTTGAACTGTATACAACTTGGTTTGAGGCCATCTAGGAAGGCAGCTGTAGGCAGGGTTGTAACTGTGTTTTTTGCTCTAGTCTTTCTGTGCTAATTTCATAAGCAAGCTCCTTACTCCTTCAGTTTACATTAAACGATAAAAGTAATCACATAACTGCAGACAAGTGGGTATGCATCACTGAATTATTAGGTAACATTTCTTTGCCTCTGTTCAAAAGGTAAATGTAATAAATCTGCTATTTTTAGTCCATTTTAGATGAGAGAAATCAAAAACAGGTCATTAAAAGATGGGTTTAATCTAGCAGCATACAGGAAAATTAGATTGTTGATTATTTAACACAATGATCCGGATATAACTTTCATCTGAGGAATGCCTTAAACTTCTGACTGAAAAACTGAGAGCAGATACCAGAGTGAGGATCATTTAATACTTACTCTACATCTCTTACTCTAAAAGAGACAGGTCTTGGGCTTAAGAACGAGCAGTGACCATTCTGCTGTATGTCTTACTAAAATCACTGCACCTCTATTTGGACCTTTGAAAAGAAGAAGTGATTGCTGACTAAGCAGATCAACTGGAATATCAAAGCGAACTCTCCGTGTGTCATTTCTTTTATGAACATTAAAGTCATTTATGGACAAGAGGAAGTGCTTTACTCTTTTTGACAGTAAGATTCATCCTAGCTATTTTACTGTGCCTACACTTCTGTAGGTCTTCACACCCAAAGGGGATATCCAGATTGCCCTTATAATCTCTGGAGAAAAACAGGCACTTTTGAAGCCAGATTCATCTGTTCATTTGCCTCGTTTTGGCTGCCTATTGCCAGATGAGACTGATCTTTCCAGCACCTCCTTTTTCTGTTTTGACTGTGAAGGGTATCAACACAGCTGGCTCAGCTGTTGATGTCTACATTACAAACATTAAATTTAGACAAGCAAATCCCACCCTTCCTTCCTCTACAACTGATTGCACAAACGATCCTCCTTTTCTGACAAGACTCTGAAACTGTTTTCCAGCTGTTCTCTGAGTACATCTTTGATTTCAAATCTACCCAATCGCATTAATCATGTCATAGCTCCTCACTGTTATTTTACCATCTAATGACGGTACCAACGACAACAAGATGAGTTAGAATATTCAGTTCCAGAAGAAGAAGTATTTGATAAAGCAAAAACATGTCCAGGTGGTATGCTTGTAACACTCCTGTTGCATCTATGACTAGAAACTTGGTATGTGAGATACTATTGGTATGGTCTTGCTTTAATAGTTAGCAGATCCTCCCTGTGATATCCAATACATCCTATTGATTGAATGTAATCAGATATTGGCCTATGGTCAAAACAAAAACAAAAAGACAGCCCAGTTGACCACAGTGGGACACACAACCAAAATAAGGCCAAGGATTTTTACTTTTGTGTACCTTAAAATTTGGCCAGAAGTGGGAAATTTGTTTCTCACACTGATACAGAGCAGAATCTAAACAAGGAAGTAGCGTTAGTCTAGCTACTGTGGATTTCATTACATTGAAAGGGGAAAAAAAAACCCAAGCAAAAAACACTCCTCCTTGGAAAGCTGTAGCCTACCTTTGCTTTTTTTCTTTCCTCTATGTGCTTCTTTGGCAGATTACAAGGAGTAGGCATTGGTGACTGCCAGCCTCTCTTTTGTTGACTACCTGGCAGATTGCTGGAGGGAGCATTTGAGGAACCCACCCGTGCTTTAGCCCATGCCAACTATTACATCCAGAAATGCCAGCATAGCATCTAACACACACACAAAGCCCTCGTAAACAGTTTGGCAGATCCCCAAACATCAGTGTAATCCACGCACAAAGCAATGACCAGCAGGTACCGTACCCAAGCAAGCTGCTGCTCCCACCATAGCATAAAGTCCCGGCGTGACACAGTCTGCCCCAGGTCTGCACCAGTTCCTGAAGATGATCCAGTCATGATGGTGATACGCCAGCTGCTCTACTCCGATCCCAACCATCCGTCCAGCCATGGCTCCAACAGCCATGCTGGGAATGAAAAGACCTGAAGGGATCTTGAATAAAATATAGACACATGAGCACAATGACAAAAAAAGATGAGTAATAAACTTACTGCTCAAACAATTTATTACTAGCAGTAAGAGAACCCAGTTTCCTTATGAAATGCTTGCTCAGAAGGCCTTTTGGCAGCCTACAGTAATGTTCCCCAAGGTCTGAGATAGGTTTCTGCAGTGACTGAGTTTGTGTGGCGACATGTGTATTAATAGCTTTATAAAATTTTAATGCACTTTTTAAAGTAATTTTGAATCCCACCTGCCGCATCATACTGAAATTGATAGATACACAGCGTTTCTGAATAACAGTCTGCTTTTAAAATCATGATGCTCCTGGTTTTGCTTTTATGGCTTTCTCAGCCAGAAGTCAGGAGCTGCTGATGGTTCTGTTACGGGCTTGAGAATCAGCTCAACTGAAAATAACATCTTGATTTCAACTTCTATCACACAGAGTATTTTACAGTTTTATTACTACTCTTTCAGGCTAAACCAGACCAGATTTCAAATTAAATGTCAAACGCAGAATAAAAATTTAGAGAAAGGAGGCTGGCTGCTCAGAAGCAGCTATTTCTTCATCTCAGTGTGCTATATATTTTCCAGAAAGCTCTATGAATCATTACCTTGTTGTCTGGTACACAGACAAGTCACAAATCATTAAAAAAACCCCAGTATTGAAATGAGGGGGCGGTGGGGGTGGCAGTGGATAGGCGTGGAGAAGATTATTAAAATTCACTTTGCCTTGGCTAAGTGCATTTCCTCTTAGATGTCAAGTGCACCTGTCAAGTTGGAGACAAATTTCCTGGTGGAGAAGACAATTCAAATCTGTTGCAAGGGTTTGCATGGAGTTTTTGGTGGGTTTAGAGGGGAGAATTTGTTATATTTTCTAATTCTGAAAATATACCTTGAGCTTCCCAGAAAACTAAACTAACCACCTTGGCATGGCCCAGGGGCATTAGAGCAGATAACAGAAGGCACTATCTCCCCCACCATATAGTGTTAATTTTGCTTATACAGTTGGACTGGGCCTTCTAGGTTTGATGGGTAAAGCTATTTTGTCTGTCCTTTTCCACAGTAGTTAGAACTGTCAATTGTTTCTGACAAATTTTAAATATATAGACTAAATAAAGAACCACATATAAAACAAAGAACCAAACTCAGAAGTTTTTAAACAAAGGAACAAGCATAACACCAACTGGCTGCCAGCACAAATCACTTTCTGGGGTGAAGGGCAACTCATTCCAAATCCTCCTCCAGAAATATTACACCTGTGATCTCAAACTCTCACTTCTCCCTGATCAGAAAATCAGCAGGACTTAATCCTAAGTGACCATCCACCATTCAGTAGTTCTTGTCATCAGGCACGTCCCAAATGTAGAAAACACGGCTGAAAAGTAAAATTCCAACAATTCCTGTTATTTTTTATCATAACAGGCCTTCTAAAAGATGGATCCTCAGTTCCAGCTCAGTTTTTAAGAGAAAGATGTTTTTTAGGAGAAAGAGGAGATGCTTTAGCTTTAAGCATGGCATAACATATAGTGTATAACTCGGGGAAAACTTCCCACCATTTGCTGCAATCAGACCCAGAACTAAATGCTCAGATAATGGGATCTGTAGACAGACAGATGGGTATTTTATATGGGCTCTAGCAATCAGATACATAAAGCTCACCACAAACAGCTTTGTATATATTGAAAGCTTTGGTAAACTGTTCTTGGACCTTTCATCACCCATTTATGGGGAGGAGGAGGAGTGGAAGGAAAAAGTTACAAATCCAGAATAATCAAATGATACATCTGTCAGTCCTCCCACTCATTCCCGCTATTGTTTTCCAAGCTTCAGTGCTTAAAGAGATTCAAAATTAGAACTTCTCAGTTACTTTATATTTTTGTAAGGTTTTAAGTGTTTAAATCAGTAAATTCAAAGCTATTACATCCCTCAGCATAGCTACCTTGAGGCACATTAAGACATTAATCCAACAAGACAAACAAGAATATACATAGTCAATACCCCCAAGAGAGCTGAAAAACAGCTGCAGTGGGAATCATCTTGAACTTGCTTATTGGCAACACTTTAAATTCCTGCCCAGCTTTCTTTCTCACTTTTTAAAACTGCAGACGACTAGAAGAAGGAAAAGCGGGGTTCATCCCTCTGCTGTGCCAGGGGCCTGCAGAGCAGGGTGCTGGCAGGCGGGTGAACCAGCAGGCATGTCAGCTACACCTGCGCGGCTGGGTGCAGGTGAGAGGCACGCAAGCCCGGCTAGACAGACCGCAGCTCCTGATGGCAACCCGCCTGCGCCTTCCGAGAGCCTCTGCTCCTGTCCCCGATTTACCTTCATGCCAAAAGTGAATATCGTGATGACGATTTTAAACACCAAAGCCAAGGCCAGCTGCCACATGGCGGTGTAGACTCCAGGGCCGGCAGGTCTGTCGGGAATGTCATCCACTGGCCGGGTCATGTTTGGGTCATTGATATAGTCGCAGAGCTGCGAGGACTCCAGGGCACCGCAGTCATTGAAGAGCTCGGAGATCAGCTCGCTGGTGCTCCTCCGGGTGTAGGGGTTGGGGTAGGCGATGATGGCTGTGATGGCTGTTATCACTATGACCTCGAGGACTGGGTATTTTCCAAGTCTGGTGGTTTTTCGCCTCCTGCACCAGGCGATGTTGCATCGGATAAAGAGGGTCCCCCAGAGGCCTCCAAAGACGCCAAGCAGGATGAAGGGGAAGAGCTCGGCCATGTACCAGGGCGTGTGGTACTCCACATAGAACAGGACCAGACGGCTGTTTCCAAAAGGATTGATGGACCTCAGTGTGAAGGCAGCCACGAGAGCAGCAAAAAACGACCTCCAGAGGGTTTTCAGAGGAAAGTAGTAGCTGACCTAAAACAAGCAGAGACCGTAAACACTTCACTGAGTGCGACAGAGGGTGTTTGCTTTAACTGCCATCTCCGTGCATGACTCTACGTCTGACTTTACAGGGAGCGCTACTCCTTACCACAGCCAGAACGTCTTCACAAAGTTACCAGAAAAGGCATTTTCAGATTTTGGATTGAGAGCAGCAACCAGTTAAAAATCAATAAATTTAAATCCAAAGTTGCTGGCTAGAGATGATACGATGGATGCTTGACAGCTCCGCTCATGTGAGAGCAAGATGGAAGCTGGAGAAACCTCAGTGCAGGGACACATTTCCAGACTGAACCGTTTCATTTGTTTCCAGAAAGTCAGTGCTCTTCTCCTTCTCAAATTAGGCTAAAATACCTGGTTATTTCTTATTACTAGAATCAAAGATTATTTTTGCATTAGAAGAAAAATAAGCATATAAATATTTGAAAAATAAAGAGGAATCTTAGAAAAAGGTATCAAATGAAAACATATTTATTGAAGCAAGTGAACGCCAGGTCTTACCTCTTCCAGACTAAAAAGCACACCTCCAATCGGAGCCCCAAAGGCAACAGAAACTCCTGCAGCGGCTGCAGCCGAGAGCACCTACAAAGCAAATATTTATGTACAAGGCATGAGTTCTTTGAAACACTGAGCATCTGGGCAGGGAAATCAGGGATGGTGTGAGCCAACCTCACCTCTCTCCTCTTTCCTTCGTTCTTGCTGTACTTTGAGAAGAGGCTGCTGAAGAAGTTTCCACAGCAACAGGCCACGTGGACTAACGGCCCCTCTTTCCCAAGGCTGAGGCCTGAAGATACCACCAGAACCAAGGTGACTGTTTTGATTAAAAGTGTCCACTTTCCCAGGTAGCCCCTAATAATGAACCCACTCAAGATGGTTTTTATCTGGAAAGCAGGAAGAACATGTTGAAGAGCTGAAGAAACCTTTTCTGCTCTGAGCTTACAGAGTTAAATGGAGTTAAAACTCCAGTGGGTTTAAAAAAGAAAAATGTGCAGACTGCTTGAAAAGAGACAGTGATGGAGAGAAGGAAACTGTAGGTAGGGAAACTCTCCCACAGCGATATCTGAGCAGGGGTTAAGCAGACCACGCTTTTACTGTTGTTACGGGTGGTCCCTTGCGTCGGTAAGGAGTCTCACAGAGATCAATAGAAACATGAAACTCTGACATATCTCCTTGGCTTACAGGATCAGAGTTAAACTCGACTCAACTTTAACAAAGCAGGAGAAAAAGCAAATAAACAACCACAGACTTTTCCCAGTTAAAACAAGAAAAAAAAATGTTCTAAATATTTGGAATGGCCATGCCATAAAAGCATGCAAGTACTATGAAATGAGAAAGTCCAAGAGATCTTATTTTCACACAATTCCACTCAACTTTGCATGTGAGTGGCTAGAATAGAATACAGTGCGTGTGCACGCCGCACAGGCTGCAGGGTGGGATTTGGGTTTGGACTCTAGCCCTGGAAATGGGCTGGAGCTGAGCATCTCCTCACATGAGAGATTTGCCACTCAGAAACTGTATTTACAGTTAACTATGAAAACGTTTTAAAAACACTTACAAATCTATCAAACATGTACCAAACACACACGTGACTACTTTGAAACATAACATGTAAATTATTTAAATATTTAATATTATTTGTGTTTTGTTTTGGTTTTTTTTTTGGTGTGGTTTTTGGTCGGGTTTTTTTGTTGTTGTTTTGGTGTTGTTTTTCTAATTGGCGATGAAACATTAGGGTGATTCTCCTAGAGACAAAGAAGAAAGTATGCCAGGATTTCTACAATTTGGGCTGTTGATTGTCTGCCAGATTCCTAAGTAATTATCCCAGTGGTTCTATGGTACTTTCAACAAAAGACTGCCCTAATTTCAAATTTTTTCATATTCTAGCTATGCTACTTGAATTACAGGTTTCTTCCTTTTAACAGCTTAAATAGGAACTGAGGCTAAATATGCAAAATATTGAAACAAAGTATAGATTTTGACTGCCATAATGGTGTCATGCCAGCAGGACATGGTGTGCAAGGACCATCTTGCAGAAGAGGACAGTCAAAGACTTTTCAGGTATCCCAAATGATGGACATCTCACACCTTCGTAGCTTAGGAAGCCATAGCTTCGTAGCCCTCCCTCCTCATTTTATTTTGGTTTTAGTTAAATCCTAGCCTAGAGGATTACTGGTTTTGTAACTGGCCCAAGTAATTTCATCCCAGGAAAATTCTCTATAATCTTCTAGTGAGTACGTGCCTCAGCCACAAAAAGTTGGAGTCCATGAGGTGATGACTGGGAGCCATTGACTTTTAATTCAAGCCCTGGCAATGAAGAAGTATGTACATTAACCTGTCATAGTGGCATCTGAGCATCTTCTACTATGAAAAATTGAGATGGGCACCATAAAGGCATGTTAGACAAAGGAATGAAGGCAGGTGAGGTGGAAAGACAATCTTGTTCCTATGCTATCTCAGAGTACAGTTCTGGAACGGGAAAAAGCAGCAAATGATCTTTTCTTTGGTTTGTTTGGTTTTTTGCATATTCATCCACAAAGAGAAACTCACCTCTGGGATTCCAGAGCCACAGGCATAGGGAGCAAACACTCTGACCAGGGAGACTGCCAGGAAAGCAAAACACAGAGCCCACATAATGTATAGAAAATAGTTTAGAATGTAAGCACTTGCACCCTAGAAAAATAACAGTAACAAACATCGTTAGACAAATGCAGGTGGGTAAATCTCACACTTCTACTAGGGATCATGATGGCATGGAGCCTGGTCTTTTCATTTACATCCTAGCTGCCGACGCTTTCCCTCAGGAAGGACAAATGGCTTTATATACTTCAACAGTTTCATTACTCGTGGCAAGAAGCAGCATACAAATACATACCTAAACCAGTCCATGCAGTCTGATTGCAAGGGACCCAAACACCTTAAACAGAGCATCTTTTCAAGCACTACAAATTTAAGTCGACCACAGAAAGTTCCAAAACGTCAAACATAATTGGTGATAAAAAAAGCACTTAATGAAGGAGTCTGCTGTTTCATCCCACGGCGGGTGACTGGGGATGAGACCCTGACCCATCTTCTTCTGAGTGCTGGTATTCAAAGGTCATCCTTCCATGCAGATGCTGGTCTTTTCAAATGACATCCCTGTGTACGTCAGTAACCAGTCCAGTTCACAAATGGGAAGGGCAAAACCATAAATAAATTCTTTCCTTCTGTATGACACTGTCTATGATGGGGTTGAAAATCACTTGAAAACACAATAGCTTGGCAGATCCCACTCAGACACATCTCAATAATTTTTGACCTTACATTTTAAAAGCATTCCAGTCAATAATAAAACCTATCTTTGAGCTGAATAGCTTTAGTTTACTGACGGAATGGAAGTGGTAATGATCATTAGCCATGGTTGACTGTGCAGTGCCATAGTGAAAGCACAGTCTGTAAGTGACCTTCAAACTTTCTACCGGTCTCCAGTGGTCAAGTCAAAACTGTTGTTAAAACCTGCCTTAAAACACCCCTCCTTCTTCACAAGCATCATTTTGTAGATTAATTTCTAAAACCCCACCTAGACAGACAAAAGATCATCTAGTCAGAAGCATTGAAATGGTACAAGGATCTTACGCCTTCAAACAATCTCCTCTGGCAACACGACACTATGGAATAAAAACAAGATGAACTTCAGTGCATGAATTGGTATGAATCCTTCACCTCTACGTGAACTCTTCTTACCGGATGCAATCCCAGCTGCTCAAGAACATCGGGGCCCCTGTCTCTGCTCTGCAGGACAGCAGCCTGGATATCAACATTATGATAAATCAAATAGGAAAACAGGCATTAATCAGTTGCATCGTGCCTTCAGTTAACAGAGCTGGGCAAGCCCTGTTCCCAGTCATAAAAAACCTAGAGCTGAGAAGTCCCTCTGTTTGCAAGCTTGCAAGGAATCAACCTTTAACAGCACGGATATTTGCTAGCCTCATTTTCCAGGTCTCTATCCAACTGAAAAGACAGTAAGGGAACCATTCCCCTTACCTTTATGGATATATTTAGAAGGGCAATTTGCTAACGTCCTCTTGTTCTTGCTGAAGTTAGCAGCTGGCTTTGCTGGTATCAGCAGAAGACCAATACGATGCATCCTCCAATGCCCTCAGGTCTGGGGCCCCCAACATAACAAGGATATCAACCTGTTAGAACGAGTCCAGACAAAGCCCACGAAGATGATCAGAGGGCTGGGAGCACCTCTCCTGTGATGAAAGGCTGAGAGAGTTGTGCTTGTTCAGCCTGGAGAAGGGAAGGCTCCGGGGAGACCTTATAGCACCTTCCAGTACCTGAAGGGGCCTACAAGGAAGCCGAGGGGGGCTTTTTACAAGGGCCTGTAGTGACAGAATCAGGGTAATGGGTTTAAATTGAAAGTGGGGCGATTTAGATTGGATATCAGGAAAAAATTCTTCCTGGAGAGGGTGGTGAGGCAATGGAACAGGTTTCCCAGAAAAGCTGTGAATGCCCCATCCCTGGAAGTGTTCAAGGCCAGGCTGGATGAGGCTTTGAGCAACCTGGTCTAGTGGAAGGTGTCCCTGCCCATTTCTGGGGGGTTGGAACTTGCTGATCTTTAAGGTCCCTTCCAACCCAAACCATTCTGTGATTCTATGAATGCCCTGAGACTAAGCAGTCTTGGATCCCATGCTTACAGTGATTGACATCTGTCTGTAGTAACCATGGATCTTTGTTGCTACAGCTGAAGACAGTCTGACAAATGTCTTCTCCTAATGCTTTCCATTACAAACAGCTATGACAATAGTCTTTCTCTAGAGAAAACTCTGGATATGTTACCCCAGGGCAAAATGCCCCTGTCAGTGTGAACCTGGAGTAACTCCAAAGAAGACCAACACCATTACAACAATTTGGCCCTACAATGTTGAGCAAAAGCTGTAGTTTTGCTTCTAAATTCACTGGAGTCAAATTAACTTTGTTTCTTTTTACTACTTTTTCTTTCACATCTCAGAAGTCATATGAAAACTATGTCAGCTCGTTACTGCAATCACACGTACACCTACAGCACCGTGGCAGGACCCCACAAGAGTCTATATGGCCAGTTCAGCATTATCATCCCTTGGGACAACTCTCATTGTGACATTTTCCAGATATCTGGCATTCTGCATGTCCAATTGCAGCAGTTTCTAATGATTAATAATAAAACGACCTTTGGGAAGTGAAGTAGTAACTCGGTATAGCAAATGGCTCGTTTCTCATTCATGATGTGCCATAAGGCCCTGAATCAGTAAAAGTTTTGAGCATGTATGCTGGAATCAGAGACCAGCGAAGCTCATCAGCAGACATGATCCTGCCAAGACCTTTTCCACTAGTGGCTCGAAGTTCTCACCCTGCCAACAACAGTAATGAAGCAAGTAGGGGAATGAGCAAAATTCTGTATTTTAGTTGGGAAGACCAAGCAGTATTTCAGATCCGGTGTCAGATCAGTTTAGATAGAAATGGAACACAATTGAAAACCATCCTCACAAACTCAGAGTACTGAAATAAACCACATTCCCGCAGGATGCCATACAATGATATTTTTTTCCAGAGGCTCAGAGCTCTACTCCTACTTCGGGAATCTCGCGGATTGCAGACTGCCTCCTCTGGACATTAAAGCAATGTGTCTCCTTTAAGGCCCTCAGGACTGATGGATTCAAGGCTGCAAAATTGGGAAGTGGGTTCCAGGAACAGCGGGGCTTCCATCTCTTGCAGGTCTCAGCTTCATAACAGGAGATCCAGAAGCATTGGAATGAAAATCCAGTCCATTGCTGGATCCCGTGTCATGATCCATGGAAGACATGGGGTCCTTTCCTCTTACCCTGGATAGGTATAAGGCACCAGATTTGGGGTCCTCAGCTCTGATGAAGTTGAGGTTGGGACCAAGCTGGATCTGCAGAATAGGGAAGCTCCAGGTCACCAGATGCTGGCAAGAGACGTAGCTGAAGTGGGTGGCACCTGATGTGCTTTAACACTCCCACTCCTCCCGTGGGTTTGAGGTTTTGAAATTATCTCACATCAAAAAAACTCTTCACCTGCTCTTTGAAGGCAGTTCAGGACCAGAGGGATGAAGAATGTAATTGGCCTACAAAACAGTGATTAGGGAATAAAACAGCCTGGTATGTGTCGGACATGCTATTATGTTTTCCTTAATGATTTATATCAAGACTCTGCTTTGGGTTCATTTTATAGGAAGACTAGAATGAGAACATTTTTCAAGAGATGCCATAGGAAATGTCACAATTCTCAGTGACAATGTACAGGGCTTATCACAGCCATAAATTGGCAAAACAACAAGGAAGGACTGTTCTAAATCTCAGTCCTCAAAATGTCAAGTTTAGTTGGCCATGATGAGAAAGAGTCACAGTTGTGCATAAAACAAAGAAGACATGTCTGACCACAGTACCTTTAGGGAAACTATTCCAAATACTTTTGGTCTAAAATGTGCTCCAAATTATTCCTTCTGTGCACTGCTGTTTTATAGGGCTGTTAGGCAAATGTCGGGGTCAAGTGAAGCAACATTTAAAAAAAAAAAAGGCAAAAATCCTGAAACACAGTCAAATTCTATGTATTTTGATCCCTCCTAGAGTTCTCTACAGCTACAGGAGTCATGCAAAACTTACCCATACTGTAAGCCTTTTGCTGCAAAACAGAATTTTAACTTTCCCTATTCACGTTTTTGTTGGGCTTTGCCTGGGATTTCAGTGTAACAGTAATAGACAGCTATATTATTAATATTTACGGCATCCATCGGGCCGTGGCAGCCAGAAACCCACAGATCTTAGAGGCTCACTTGTTTTGAGAAAGAGCCTAAAACTAAGCCAAGATGAACCTTTTTTTTTTTTTCCACTGCAACTAGGGAGGGAGAAGCCCAGTTTGAATACAAAGTGAGTAAAGTTTCACAGTGCCCCCCTAGCTGATACCTTTCTTGCAGGCCACAGCATACAACGGACATGACTGCTGATTTCCAGTAGCGGGCGAAAACAATAAATTTCCTCAAGGATATGCTTGGTTTATATATTCCAGCCCTTCAGAGTAACAGCATGTCAAACACATGCACAGGATTTCCAAATCCAAATCCTCAGTCTCCTCTTTTTTCCCTTCCCACATTTCTGTGTTGTCTTAAATTACAACATTGTCCTCCAGTCCTGCAACTTTACACCAGGGTAATATTTCTTCATTATTGCGAAGACACAGCCACCCAAACCGCCTCTGGGTGAAGACCACTGTGAACCTAGCAAACCTCTGCCAAAGGGAAGCTTGGCTCTGCGAGCTGGCAACTGTGCACAGGGATTATTGCCTGGGATTAAATGGTGGGGATATCCAGGAACAGTGAGCCCCGCTACTTTCCCTATGGTTAATTAGAAAATCGAGCTAAACATACTGAAAGAGGCTCTCATCTAGTACTACTTGGACTGCAAACCTAAAGCGGGGCTGAAGGGAACAGGAATGACAAACCTGTATGGCAGCGAAGGTGCCCTCAAACACTTTCTGCAGGCCCCAACTACCTCCACACTGCGGGAAGATCCAAAGCAATCTCTCCAAGTCACCCAGTTTTTAATTGCCTGGGTGAAGATGATTTAACCCATAGATGTACATATTTTCTTTTCCCATTATTGGCCAAACTACATTACCAGACATTTTTTTTAGAGTTAAGCCAGTTCTCTTCAAAGACACATTTATCCCACCTCCACTTCAGATTCAATTTCTGTTGTATTCAAGTCACCTGCAGAAATTGGGAGGAGGGGGATTCAAGATAATAATTCTGTCCAAAAACCTGAGTTGTGAAGGAATCAGTATTACTCGATACACTGACCAGCTTTGATCACTGTCCCTTTTTTGTACTTTTTGTAAAAGTAGCATCTGCTAAAAGGAATATAGAAAGGCTTCTTTTGATTATCTTCAAAATGAAACTTGCAGCTGCTTTGCTTTGAAACACCTTTGTATTTAAAACAACAACTTTGTGGAAAAAAAAAGGTATAGAAAAAAATTCCTAAATTATAAGTTACATGTCAGTCTAGATCCGCTTTTTTCCTTTCTGTCCTCTCCCCCTGCAAATTTTTCATTTCAGCCCTCTCCCAGGGAGCCCATTATTCCCCCAGCTTCCGGCACTAGCTAAATATTTTGCTGTCTGGTAGAGAAACTGATTGCAAGGGCATAACAAGCAGTTCTTATGCAGCTCCCACTACTACTCACAGCATTTCAATACATAAAACCCATCTGCAATCCCAAAAACTTCCTCTTCAATGCATTTGTCAGGGATCGTCTTTTTTTGTCCTACAAAAATGCGTTTAAAAGAAAAAGCATTGGATAGCAGCTCAGGTCCCCTGGTGTTTGTGTTACGAGTGTTATGAAACACTTTTGGTTTAACACTGATAAAAACAGGGAGCAATCTCACAGTTTTCCAACTTCCATCACACATGACACTGAAACAATAAGACCTCTTCCAAGTTAAGCAGATATTGCTTGTGGAAACGTCTTTTTTTTTTTTTTGCAGCGTGCTCAGTTCATTATGTTCTCTTTCAGAGAAGCTCTCTGGAGGGAAGGAACATCAGCAAGTATGAAAAAAGGGCATCCCTGGCCTGCTGCGACCCCAGCCTAATCAGGTCTCCCGTACCTCAGACTGGCTTACGAGAAGTTCAGACCATTTCTGCCACTGCGGACATTTGTCCCTGTCATCGAACGTGGTTTCATTAGACGTCCAGCAGCACTGCTCGTGGCTGTACCAGAAGGCAGACAGGCAGACACCCTCCTTCAGGTCTGTCATCCAATCCACAGCTAAATCTATCACGCCGGCTAACGTGCCTGGGAAAAGAAATGCAGAAAAACAAGCTGTGGCATTAAAAATTACCAAATCAGAAGGAAAATCAGTCCAATTAACAGCAAGTAACATAACAAAATAGTAACAGCCAGCACTCAAGATGTGGGGAAGCAGCTGCAGTGTAAGCACAGACCAACCAGCTGGGTTTGCAAAGGAACGGCCACACCAACATCTTGTCTGACCTTCCGCGTTCCCTCGGAACGCTTTTATTTTAAACATTACCCTTTCCATACTGACTGACCGCCAAACAGGGGAGGCGTAATGGATGCAGGACCGGCTCCCGCAGACTGTCCCAGGCAGCTGCTCCGTTGGACCGCGATAAGCCGGACTCGCGCGGGGTCTCTGTACACGTACTAAGCTGGAGGTCTCAAACCACGCGGTGTATTTCAGGGGTAGGGGAGGAGGAGGAGACGTATGCTTTCCTACAGCCTTACAGGTCCCAAGGCAGCAACCTATTAGAAGGACGATTTCAGTAGAGGAACCACGTGGATGCCCAATTCCGCCTTCTGACCCTGGCGGAACGGGGCTCTGGATGCTGCGTTCAGCGGCCCGAAGACGCAGGACCGTTCTCCATCCAACCCCTCCCAAACCCAGCCCTGGCTGCGGCTTCCCCAGCCATCGCACAGCGCGGCAGCGACACCCGCCGGCCACCCGCAGCCCCACAGGAAG